GTGCTCATGCCCACCCTCCCACTCACTGCCACCGCTGCTTCTCCCTGCCTGCCCCACCGCCTTCTCACAGAGTCCACTGAGAGCTATAGCAAAACTGGCTGAACACTTGGTGAAATCTGGTATCAATTTTAAATAAGCGCTATAGTGAAATAGCGCTAACCAAAACTGCATTAAGCAGGGGTTGCCTGTAACCCCAAATCCACATTTTTCTGTGATTTAAAATGAAACACCACTATATGTCTGTCTATATATTAGTGGTGTTTCATTGAAATCATAGAAAAATGTGGATTTGGGGTTACTTTTTTATCTGAAAATTGGGTGTTTTTTAAATTGGAGAAAAGCAGGGTCCCTGCTCATTACCAAGTAGACCCTTGATAATGTCAAAACAGAAGCTTAAGAATGGAGCCTCAGGTGTTCTTCCATGGGCTGTGGACCTCCACACTGCATAGGGAATAAGTTGCATTTGTGAACTGTGCACAAGGAGTTCTCATGTGCATGTAAGTGCATGCTCCTATTCATTGGTTATTCAGGTGCTAGTGTCAGAAGCATGTGTGCAGGCAGCTGCATCTGTACAATGATGCACATACTCGAGTGGAGGCTGGGTTCAAGTGGCTTGGAAAGCCAGGCCTTGCAGATGTAGGCTCGTGGCCTTGTTTGGACGTGGTCTTGCCCTTACTTAGAGGGAAACTCTCCCCGGCACATTGTCCTGGGGCAGGGAGAGGAGGGTGCATGTTTCTTTTTTCAGGTCCGTGCAGAGCCAGAGCCCAATAATATACCTAGCAGACTGAAGCTGAGGCTTGCTTTCCACCTACTTCAAAAGCAATATGGAAAGGAGGAAGGGCTAGTAGGGCCACAGCATATGAAAAAGAGACTAAAAGAAGGCAGACTGTTCACTCCCTCAGAGTAGGGGGAGTTGCAGCAAGGACAGTGCTGAGCAAGGGGGAGACTTCTAAGCCACCATCCATAATCCTGACCCGTGCCTTCAGGAGCTCCATTTATGACCAGCTTTTGTAAACAGTTTGTTCTCTGTGACCCACAGCTTCTGTTTTTTACGAAGCAGTTAAATAAAATTGTCGTGCCTTGT